TCAATCGGCTCAAAACGCTTACCACGAAGGGGCAATTTGAGTTTCGGGAACAGTAAAAAGTCGTACGGATCAAGATCTGGCGAATATGGTGCCTGAGCTATGACAGTGGTGTCGTGTTTGGTCAAAAAATCGCGTAAAACAAGAATTTTCCATAGTGAAAATCGCTAAATGCACTTGAGGTAGTCTCACATTAACAGCTGCTGTAAACAAACTAATTGACAGATGGCGCTCAAATTTGTACCATATGTCAAGAAAGGGTGTATCAACATAACAAAAAATTTTTGAAAAAGGTCTATTACTTCAGAAGTAGTTAACAAACAACAATATCCGGATACTTTTTGAGCATAAGGTATAAAATATGCATACTTTGTGAAACTTAAAAGCTAAATAAATACCAATAAAATATTTTAAATTAATGATATTTTATTGTAAAGTTCGATCAGATAGCTTCTTCAAGTTTATAAAGCCTAAAATCTTTCTCTTCGTAGTTTAAATATGATTGAATAGCTTCTATTAATCTTTGACTGGTAACATAAATCTTGTGCATTATATGTATCCAGTTTGAAGATAATAAATCAGCCCATATCAATTAGTTTCCTTAGTGTTATACTTTACTTACTTCAGTTACATGTTACCTCAATTAATGTTTAGTACTAATAAAAATTTTTTACATTTCTACAATAAAACTGAATATTTTAAAAATTTTGAACTTCCCACTCTATGATTCTGATTTTACATTCGTTTGAGTCATGTCAATAAAAACGACATCTATGCTATAAAACAAGCTGCAGAAAGAGAAATGTAAAACTCAAACCATTCAAATTAGAATTATTCAGCTCATAACTTACTGTGAGCAGAAAGAATGTTTAATGTTTTAAAAGGATCATTAAAATATTTGAAGTTTTTTGATGGTGACTACTAATATCTTCCCAAAAACCAATATCGTTGCATACAAAAATACTATATAGCTGTCTTTGGACCGACATAGGTATACGAAGCCATTCTCTCAATGATTGATTAAACTATATTCTTTTATGCAGGGAAGTCTATAAAGAAGCTTCTGTACAAATAGAAACGAACTAAACAACCCGACAATACTGCTATAGTTTTCTCACTAAAGAAACTATGATATCAAATTCAGTCTTCACAGTGAAGAAACGATGATATCAAATTCAGTCTTCACACTGACCAGGCCATGATGAACAAGTGCTGATCGATTAGAAGCACTTTTTGAAGAATACAGTTATAACTGTAGGTTAAAGTAAGAAGAGACAAATGACACTCATCTATTTTTGACCGAAAAATTATACAGTGAAATGGAATGAAAATGTTACTAACACTGGCGCTAGTCTTGTAGATGACAGATTCAGCAAGATTATTAATCTTTTGCAAGATATGTACCAGATAAATATAAAAAGAGACTTTAAATAATGAACGTAGCTAAATTATATATAGAATCGCCAGGATTATATACAAACACATATTCGATAAAGAATATAGTCGGTATTTTAATCGGCGTCTATTAAAAATGTGTATAAGTTAAACATTACCATTAGTGATTAAATCAAGAAGTGCCAGGATGGAATTTTTAGATATTTTAAAACATTTCTTCTATATAAATCTGATTCTCTCTAAATTCGACTAACAGTTTCATTGATATTGATAGACATATTTTAAGTAATGTGTACCATTTTTAACTGCATTAAAAACTCCCATCAGGTATCGCAACTGGTAGACCAGTTAACTTTATCTGTCTTCCTATTTACTCTGCCACAGCGCAGAAAGTGATGATCCCTGGAATATAGGGTGCCATGCTCTAAGTATCTGTTTCTTGTCAGTAGTATACATTGTAGCTTATAGACTGCCTTTGCTTGTTTTATTAATTTGACAAAAAGTTTTTCTAATTCTAATTATAACAGCTATTGTGTTCTGATAATTGTGATTTCATAATAGGCAAACTTTCTGGGGAGAATGAGATCCATGTATTTTCCGCCAACTGAAACAAAAAAATTAAGATGAAAATGCATCTATCATCTTTTTAGTTTACATATTCCATATTTCTCGGAATTGAATTTTTTTATGCTTCTAAACTTTGAGATAATTATGTTGGTTATATATTAATGTGTCTTATCAACTTATAGTTATTAATTCTATATGCATATATAATTATATATGTAACCATTATAATAGAAGACCTTATCATCTCTGAAAATTCATAATCCTTCTGCGATGAAAATTTAATTTTATTCAATTTTTACCAGCATAATTAAGTTCTTAAGAAATATTTTATAAAAAAAAAAGTTCTACTTAATTTGCAGTGGATAAAATATCTGTCATTTTCAAAGCAACTAATTGTCAAAGCTAATCAACATCAAATAATGACACAAAGAAATTTGTTATAAATTAGCTTCTGCATTGCTCATACGCCACGATAAGCTCGAACGTGCGTTTGTTTTAAGAAAAAACTGCTAACATAAAACTTATCTATGTCAAATCCTTAATAACAATCAAACTAAAAAGCACATTAGCAATAAAATAAGAATAAAGCAAGAAAAAGATATTTAAAACTGAAACCAAAAAAGGAAAAAAATCTTCAGGAAAGTGACGTTCGCGTTGGCATACTTACACATTTTCCGTTCTCCGACAATACTACATTCTCATCAACAATTCAACGAAGGAAAAACTGAGGAGGAAAATCTTCTTAGAAATTGTGCAGTTCAGGACTAACAACTAAATGTGCTAGTTGAAAGCGCAAGAAGGGAAGTGGTAATACTTCTTAACGCTTATACAGTTGCATAATGGCATCCTGCTGCATTTTGAAAGAAAAGTGCATGCTGGAGCAAAATAAAAAATAAAATGAAAAATTGTGCATAATAAAATTTGCTTGAAACTCCTTCGCTTTGATAAATCAAACAGGAAACTCGATTAGGTAAACCAGAAATGAAATTACTTTCCTAGCGATTTGTTGGCCATTTAAGTTGCTCGTCTGACGTATTCCAACACATCAATTGTCAGCATTTTGTTACTTTTCTTTCCAATAAAAAATTGCCGTCCCCTCTTATCGTTAGCAGTTACTTTTCAAATAAATGTTCGAACTAATTTAGTTCACATGCCCGTCTATATAAGAGCTCATTTATATAAATTAATTTTTTTTCTTCAGTTATTTTCTTTTAATTTAATATATTTTGTTATATTAAATTATTTTATATAAGTTAAATCCAACTCAGTAGAGAAATTTAAAGTTACTTATGACAGTATAAAATTTATTAGGAGATTTTGTTCCGTTGATAGCTTCTTAAAATAATACTTTATAAAGCTCATTGTGATCAATCCAGTTTCCTCTTGCGGGTAAGAGGTTAGAATATTCCCGAGGAAAGGCTCTTCTTCTCTTCTAACCAATTGATAATTGACATTGTCATAATAACTGTGGTTATTACCTAAACTTACATGGGAAGAATGATTGCATTATACTTTCATGCGGCATGGAGTTGCATATTCACATCGGTTGGTCTGATCCAAAGATCAGCAGAAGTTGGATAGGGCTCGTTCTTTACCAATACATCAGTTCAATGGCTGCCGGTAAAAATTCCTTGGAATTTGTAAAGAGTCGTTTGTTGATGCATTATCTTAATGGGTTTGTCTTTTAAGACACTGTGGTCTTAAACCTTCAAGGCAGGTAACTACGTTAAACAACATTGCATTCTCAACAATGCACTTATCGCTGTCCTCACTAGTACAATGCTAAATCTACTCACTCGGTACATATATTAAAGTCCTTTCAACAATAGTCTTATTTTGTATACTACCTTTGGTATACCATACTATACTAACATTGGTAAACAATCTTTGGTATACTAAGTGGTCAAGATATTTCTATTCGGCAGTACTTTAATCTTCAAAATTTGGTATTTGACTGTTTGTGAGGTGTTGTTAAGTTTATAGTTACAGAGTGGAGCGACCGAGAGAGTGCGTGTCATTCCAAATATTGAGCTACTTTGCTACTTAAACATACAATTTTTTCATTTTTTGTTCACAGTATTCTTAAGATATCTGTCAATTTTTTACTATAAATTCATTTTCATACACTTTATCTTTCTACTTTTAATAACTTTCTCAATTGTTTGCACTGCTTATTGGTTTGAAATTATCATTTGCTACCTTATTTATTACTGCTTGTCGTTTTAAGTGCTGTTAGCTGATAGTTCTACTAATATTCTTTTGTTTTTACTCTACTTTATTTTATTATATTTAATTTTATTTTCTTCTTTCGCTTATTTTCGCTCTGTTAATAAATCTTATTATTGCTATGTCATCTGTAGATCAATCCACTACTATATTGTAAAATGTATTAAAGTCCATATATATGCTACACCTATAAAATATATTTGTTTCGTTATATAATAAATGTGAATAACATTGCATATCTATATTTATCAAAAGTGCTGCTATATACAATAACCCAGATTTTTATGTTCGTACTTAAAGTAATGTTACTTAAAGTACTTTCTTTTTTAGTTTTATTCCTATTCAAATTTAATTATAAAAATGTATGAAAAAACTAGCTTATATACATGCAGTAGCAAGTAGCATACAAGATTATCCATTGCGGTTCCGAAAGTAAACGTATATAAAACGCTCTTGTAATTTTTATATTTTAATTAATTAATTTATTTTAATTAATTATGTTGAAGCTATTCAAGCCAGTGCACTTGAGCACTTTTACTCTTTCTTAACTCGAGGTATTTTTAAAAGCCCTCTTTACGCCTTGACTGTTTATTTTATTTATTATTTATTGTTTATCACTTCATCAGACTAAGCAATAATTGACCTCAGATCTGCATAATTCCCCAAGGGAATTGTTTTATTTAATTTAATTTTATTATATATTTTTTTATTTAATATTTCACACTTCAATTATATTATTTTGTTTTATTATTTTACAAGATTTTGTATTTTCTATTATATAACATTTTAAAATTTTATTTTTTTTTTCATTATAGTAAAAATGCCAGCAATTTAGAACGTTTCCAGTTGCGCATCTCCAAAAAGGAACTTTATAGTGAGAATGACACTTTTGTGGATGCTGTGATACGTGATATGATTAAGTTGCCAATACAACACGTCGGTGAGTATTTACCCAGAAATGAAATTTTAGTTTAACGAAGTTTACTTTACGAAGTTCATAAATAAATTGTATCGTAAAGTAGTTTACTGGAACATTAACTTTTAATGTATATATCAAATTAATAATATGGCAACCACATTTTAAACTTTATTAGGGAATATACAACATTTATAAATGCAGCAAAGTTGTACCAAGATCTGGAACAATGAATATTAAAAATTAATTTTATAAAATTTGTATTGTTTTCATATTAGCGTATATAATCTGAAATTATGACTATTAAAAACTGATTTCATTTTCGAAACTTCTTTTTTAATCAAATTCATTTTGTGTAATGCAAAAACTAAAATTCTCATTTGGTTTAAATTCTTGTAATTTTCACTTTTTGCTAAAATGTTCATATTTAATTTGCTATCATTTCTAAAAGCAAAGCAAAACGTTTACGGTTCTTATGATTCAATAATTCCTGACTATATTCATTTTAAATTGTATAAAATTACGAATCTCAATTGGTTTGGTACTTTCTTATGATACGATTTTTTTTTTTTTATTCAAAGCTGTTGCTGTTCAAAATGCAAATTGCTGCATGTCCGGAGTGCGTTTATTATTTAATTTTGATATCTTGTAGCAAATTTATGTTTTTTGCTTGCAGTGCACAAACTTTAACATCAACTTAAACTCTTTGATTATACAATTTACCCAATTATTATGTACCTTTTCTGGCAAGGAACTACTACTAGTTTCGTTTTCAACTTTTATGCACTGATTATATTGTTAGATGCTTTATCACATCCCTGCTGTTTCCTTCGCAGAAGATTTACAATGTGCATTTGCTGCATTGCAATAGAAAATTCAAAAATTCAAAAATTAAACTTTTCTCCGTACAGTACAACTAAGCACAGTGCAACAAAAAACATATAGCACGTACCAATGTGCAAGTGTGTCAGTGTCTCAGTGTATCAGTGTATGAGTGTATGAGTGTATGAGTGTATGCAACAAATTGCAAGGATAATAAAAAACAACAGTACGAAATTCAAAACAGCAATAGAACAACAAATAACAATGTATCAAGTATCTTCCATTGCAAGCAAACTTTTTAACTGGAAAGGCACAAAACTTTCTGCATTTGCACACACAAAAATTGTTAATTTCTAACAATTTGTGTAAAGGAAATGCGAACAACATTTACATGTACAAGCACGATGTGTGCGTGCCCGTGCCCGTCCCCGTGCCTGTGCCTGTGCCTGTGCCGATGTTAGCTATTTTGCATGCCAAACTAATACAAGTGCAATTTTCAAAACTTCAACTCTGTTCGAAAATGTTATTTGTTTATGTACTATTTACAAATACATACATATATACGAGTACAACATCTGCGTATTATTATTCACACATATGTGTATGTGTGTATATATATCAGATCATATAACCAAATCATTGTTGCAAATTATAATTTCTGTTAAGATATTTTATTGTTGTGCTTTGTGGTTTTGTTGTTCTGTTTATCTTTGTATTGTACGAGGTAAGTGTCTAATGTTCTTTTCGAAAAATACTTTAAGCATGTTCAAATGTAATAACATAAATGTATGTGTATATTTTGGCATTTGACGCAAAAAAAAATTTTGTTTACAAATAATGCAACTTAGATAGATTTGTCTAATACGCTAGAAAGATATATACGAAGAAATTCTTTTAAAAATGGCTTAATATTAAAGAAAGACCAGTAATCTAAACTAACAAAAAGGCATTTTACAAATGTATTAGTTTTTGAAAACTATTGAATATAATAGTTTTTCCTGTTCTTCAATTCTATCGAGAGCAAAAAAAAACATTTTCTTTAACTAAGAAAAAAAAAGAACACACTTTAGAGGTTCACATACGACTGATTTATTCTTGAGTAATATATATCCAAAACAGCAAAAGAGCACAAGAAAATGAATGCAAGTAAGAGTACATCTCAGCTAATAAGTACAACAAAAATGACTTAACACAGGTAGTTAAAAACACTCTTCTGCTAAGTTTAAATAATTATACAAACAATTCAATAAGTATATTAAAAAATTATATTACACTTTTGTACTCTTAACACCAAACTAAGAATGGAAAATTATCGCCTGGCCAAGATTGCAATGGTAAAGAAACCAACAGTCGCGACTCGCGAGATTACCCGATCGACCGCCGAAGAGATGGCGTGAATGCTAGACGTTTGGCTCTACAGAAACATGAAAATGATAATTTGATATGTCACAATTTTACATAAATATATCCAATTCAATTGTTGTAACAAAACAAGTTTAATCCTATAATAAAGAAGAAGAAGAGCACCAAACTAACTTTTTGTCGTTTTCGTCTATTTTTTCTCTTCTATTGACTGAAGAATAAAATTGTTTACTTATTATATTAAAAATTCTTTTAGAAATATGGTTAAACTAAAATTGATCATAATTTCGATAAACGTTCTAAATTAATTAGCCAGATATGTATGATACTTCCTCGTATGTAATAGCTTCTAGCAGGCAGTTCAATTTATAGCTTGAGAATCAAGCTAAGCCTAATCGTTTGTTAATTTATCTTTTAATCTAAGATGTGGACATCTTCTATCGTGCTTACCGACAGCGGTTATAGAACGAAACATTTCTATTCCCACTCTTTCACCTTGGGAATAGTTAAGCACACATTGTTCTAATTGTTGTATATAAACAACAAAAAAACTACTTGTTATGAGGCTCAGTGCAGTCAATGTCGCGATATAGCTCATCAGTATATCTAGCTCGATACGCGTTGTAATTCGGATTGAATTACAGATCATTGTCAATTTTTGTGAAATTTAAACATTATAGAATATATTATTATGGAAATCTATTGACAACAATAATGTTAAAATTCTGCTTTAATTTTACTAATTACTCCAATCAGTGCAATTAATTAATTTTCCTTACTCTATACTCACATTTTTATTATGCAACTTTGCTTACTGCACTCGTTTTTGAATATTATGATATATAGTATATTCTACATATAGTACAATATATATATGAATATATTCATATAAGTATTTCTTGCAATAATTTTTGGTTTATTTTTTCTCCAAAAACTTTAGTCTGTTGTTATTCTGTTTAGTGTAAGGAAACCAATTTTCATTTGCGCAATTTCTTACTGGCTTCCTTGCTTGTTTCTGGTTTACTTAAAAAACTTTTACAAATTTTAAGAAGACAAAAAGTTTAAGCTTTTAATAGTTTTGCAGTGGTTGCATTTATTAAAAACTACATCAGAGAATGTGCATATTTTGTTATTAATTAAAATGTTTCCCATAAAAGGACTCTAGACTTCACGAGTGCCTTGGAGCGGTCAGTGAACTATTATAAAAATAAATATTTATTTTAAGTAAGGTTTTTTTATAAAAATGAACATGTATCAAAAATTAAGCCAATACAAGTTTTATTTATATTAAATACCTGTAATTAAATATGTTTTTATTTAAACATTATTGTATTTTATTTTGTATTTTATATTTTTTTTCCTTTTTTGCAGTACAAAAAGAAGGCGGCACGCAACTTAAATTAATGATTGAATATCCCAATGACGTAAAGGCATTAATGAAACCCATGAGGTGAGTTAAATATTATGTGACAAGCATTAAATACTTGTCAATATCCTTTAGCAATGAAATTAATTATTTCTTTTCATCACTTAAGCTCATTAAACAACACAATGATGAGTGAAATATTTATTCTTTTTTTTTATAGTCTCTATGCCTTTGTAGTATCACAGCGAAAAAATTTTATATGAAAAACACAAAAAATTAAATATATTATTCAGTGCTTTTGTTAAAAAATATTTTGTGTGTGTATTCGGGTAATTTTAAACACTCATTTAAGTTTTAATATTAATTAATTGTAACCACAATTGTTTTCCCTCTGTTTACTTAATAATTTACATAATTAAACATTAAAAATATTATCCCTTTTCATTTTGAATAAGGATATGTGTTTCAATTTTTTAGCAATTTATTTATTATAATTCAATAAAAATTAAATAAACAAATATATTAAAAACATTCACCGATAGAAGGAATATTCAAGGAGCTTGAATATTTAAGCCTTCAACGGTTTATTTACTTCATTTAAATTTTAAAAATGGCAAATGCGATAGATGTCTTGTCACACTCTTTGTAACTGTTAGGCTTTAATAGGAGATAGGAGATAAGGAATATAAAACCGACAGCTTCTATCCGCTTGTAATACTAAAGATGTTTTTACAATGATATTTTGAGCTTCACTGGAATAACTCAATGTCTACTAATTAATTAAGATGTGGATGTTAAGACGAAAGCTGCCATTTCCATTTAATACTAACTTATTCTTAGCAACATCGTAGATTTTAATTCGAAGAGCAGAATATCTACTGCTTAAACACAAAAAGGATGCTAAACTGAAAGTTTCTATTCACATCTGATATTAAAAATTTGAAAGATTTTATACTCTTATAAATAATAAGAAGTCCTTTAGAGCTGATATGCTGGTCATGATGCAAAGACCTAAACGTCTTCTGCTCAATCAGGAAGATGCTGAGTCAAATGCTCTTGTTCCCATTTGATATCAAGAAGTCAATAACAGCTAATATTTTAGCTTTCGTTCCAACAGCTTATGTTAATATCGTCAGCTTCGTCAGAATGAGAATACTAAGTTGAAGTCTTCAATTGGATATTAAGAAGTCATTTGTAGTTGATATTTTAGTTTTCATTTGAAGATCTCAATTCTTCTGTTCAATCAGGATATTTTATGAAAAGCTAATTTCCACTTTTGATATTAAAAACACTTTAACTATAAACTTCTATTCCTTTTTGATAATTAGAAATGTTTAACAGCTGACATTTTAGCTCTCACTCGAGGGACTAAATGTCTTTCCTTCACTTAGAATTTGTTTATAATACAAAAAAACCTGTATGGGTTGTTTCAATTGTTTACTTAAATGTTTATGAGTATGTACTTAAAAAATTATCTCTACTGATTTTAAAAGATCTTTCTCTTTTGAAGCAGGTTTTTAATGTGGAAATGAACTCAAAAATCTTTTCGCTACGCGACTTTTTCGACTTCTTTTTAAAGATACACAATTTTTTCCTTATACATAATCCATGAATATAGATTATTATTCTGCATCTGCATTGCAATTTAAATCTTCATATAATACATATTACTTAAAAATATAGTA